AGGTTAAATACACCCACCACATCCCCCAAAAGGGAGGTTCTGTCCCAGACTCTTCCTAATAATACAATGTATGTTTCGAGTAAAAGGGAAGCATTTTTCGGGACTGTAAGTAAGGCTTTGATATCTTTTCTCCCCAAACATCAAGTTGAATGAGCCAAAGGCCACAATCAATTTTGAACTTGTCTAAGCCCCTCCCATGATACCAAAAGCAGGGACCACATACATGTACATGTACCTGCAGTAGGCCTACATGTAAAATAAGTGTAGATACATGAACCAATTTAACCTGTAGGCAAAAGGTAAAATGAAAATAATCAACCCGAAATAAATGAGAAAGACTATAGACATTGTACTCCCAACGCATGAATTAACCAGATGCCATGCCCAGCGCCCACACCGACTTTCAAGTTCCACCGTGCTTGCTTGTTTGCGCCACCAGCATTGCAGCATGAAATGTACATGTACATATGGCTCAAAAAATAGATTAACCGTCATTGCGTTTTTAAGCAGAAAGTTGTATGTGCTTCAATACTAATGCTCCTCTTGATATTGGTGCAGACTAGAAAATTCTGTTGTGATGAACTCACCTTTAATTCTAATATTCTAATATGTGAATTTGTAAAAGTTGAAAACATAAGGCCTATGGCTCCGCTAACAAAGCCCCCGGCAGCAAGTGGTTGAGGTGGTAGGAAGCGTGATTTCTCTTTAGCAGGGGTCGTTGTATAACTGAATTAATTGCATAGGGTGGCTATATTTATTCTAGAGAGCAACGTAACTAGTTCATGTACATGAACGTTGGCCTGCGCCCTAGTGCCGAAAGGGGAGATGCTATGGACGCAAGAACATGGCATAGCGTGGGTACGAAATAGGGTTGTTAAGTGCAGCTGTTGTGGATTTTCATTCAGCATCCACTCGGAGGTTCAATGTACGACAAATACTGATAAAATGGCATTGTAGTTGCTCTAAAAATACATGTTGCCACTCCTGAAATATATTAAATATACTCCTGAATTGTCTGCACTGACAAACAATTCAAACAGCTTTCTGCCCTCATGTGCCACACCACTGATGCAAGCATCCGTTACCGAATTCGCACCAGGAGGTCTGGCAGACTTCAAAACCTTGTGGTTTTTCATGTCGGCCTGCCAATCGGCATTTTGTCTCGAGAAGTCCGCCAGCCGCGCCGCAGTTAGTCGGCCACATGCTAATTCAGTGGAATTCGCGTTGCCACAGATTGCCAGCCTATACGTGGAAGGACGGGGTATTCATGAGGTTGGTAATTTAAATAAAGCTTGCATATTGTGTTCTGTCTGCGGAGCCGGGTTGTCAAGTGCTCTTTTGTTCGGCAGGGATTCTGTGTAATGTCCACGCCGTGGAACACAGTCAATTTAGGGATGACGCCTAAGGTCCAAAACTGCAAAGGGAATGAAGTTGATAGTGGAAGAAATGTGCACAAAACAAATGGGTTTAGCAACAGAAGAGGGAAGAAACATGAAAAAAAATGAACAAAAAGAATGCCTTTTTGTGCAAAATTGCAATAAAGCCCCCCAAAAAAATGAACAAAAGAAATGCCTTTTTCACAAAATTTCCAAAAAGCCGATGAAAAGGAAAAAAAGAATCAAAAGAATGCCTTTTTCGGAACTTGCAAAAAAGCAAAAAAATCACAAGAAAAGGAACACCTTTTTTTGGCAACTTGCAAAAAAGCCAAAAAAAAAAAACAAGAAAAAGAATGCCTTTCTTCGCAAACTTGTGACAAAGCCAAGAGAAAAAAATCTTGAGGAAAACGAAAGCAGTATAAAAAACCTCCTGCCTGACCCAACTTTCTGGAAAACTAGAATGGCAAAGCCATTCTAGTTTTAGTGGCTCACTGCTTGCTATGAGTTTGAATTTCTTTCCTGTAATATCAGCTTACATGTACAGTGTATGTGAAGAGAAATCCAACTATGGTTACTTAATTAAATAAAAAAATACTAAGCAAGATTCACCAAAATTTTTAACAAGATTGATTGACATATATGTACAACAATACAGATGCACAAAAGTTAATCAGCAAAGACCACCATCAAGGGAGACATGCATACAAAGGCTTCATAGTTCTTTACAGGAGAGAGGAATACCTAAAGAATGTGGATCCAGTACAGTCAGACTAGACCTGGATGCCCAGATAAGCAGTGCATTTGTGAGTTTGACAGGTAATTTAAATTCCTCTAAAGTACAGTTTCGCACTTTGCATCCAACCCCGTCATCCCATCTTCTACAATTCTACCCACCATCATCCCATACCTGCTATGTCTACTTTGATCCCTCTCATCCTTTCTACATGTATCTCCAACTCCACATCCACCTTATCTTTGCATCCATATCTGACTCCACCCCTCCATCATCTTGTCCATTTCCTACATGTACCTCCCCGTCCCCATCATCCGAGCCATCTGCTACCCCACTCTTGCTCGTATTATTCCCTTCACTTCTTACTCTGGCTGTCCCATCATCCCACTTATCAAGCTCATCCATTATGCCAACCTTATCCAGCATTTCATCCACTTTCTACAGATACACACATGTACATGTACCTTTTCCCCCTGATTCTCCTCATAAAGGTACCCCAAACATACATGTACATGTACATCCTAATCTGTCACTTGGAGTTCCCCCCATCCCCTTACATTTTCCCCACATAGTGTTCATGTACATTTGTATGTGTCTTAACACCGTCTATACGTGTATATACATGTATACATGTACATGTGCAGTGCTCTGTACATATGGCAGGTTCCTCAAAATATGGACCATAAGATAATGTTCAACTTTGGGGGTTCATTTTTTCTGAAGTGAACCGCAGAGAATTAATATCCAATGTTTGATGTAATGAGGGAAGCCATGGCTGATATATGGAACAATGATGACCGTGTCAACCTTTCAACTTAATTGGAGTTAATTAATTAAAGTCTCGAACGATAGCAATTTTGATGGACATGAACACCCTGTTAAAATCTGAGCCAATAGAATTTACTGAGGAGTGATAATCCCCGAAGTTATTTTACACAGATTTATTTGTGGTGAAAGGTGATAATATTTACACATATTAAAACCATAATCACAAAATTTAAAAGTACCTCTCACAATTAATCGGGTCCCGAAGTCGGAAGTCACGAATGTCATTCGATTCTGTCATAAGTGTCAAAAAATCGACTGCAAAAAAAAGCGAGTAAAATCCATCGATGTACACATTTTCTTCAAGTATGTTCCCAAAACCGCAGTCCAAAATATCAATCGTGGTGATGTTGCGGCTTCCATCAATCTCTCACGGTGACATTTGAGAAATATTTCCTTGCATTGTGGCCTGTTTGACCTTTGACATCAACCCAGATGGTGCGCCCTCTTTTTATTCGATATTCATGAGCCCCTCCATGGAATGGCCACACTCCACGATTTTTCTCTTCAGAACAATTTTTCTCAAAAGAAAATCCGTCTTTCTGAATGACATTCGCAAAAAAATGACATTCAAGACATAAAAAACGATTTATGATGAAAATCTAATGCTCAGAGCAGTTAATTTTAATTTTATTTTCAGCAAGTTATCTCCAAAATAACCCGCAAACTGAAAATCGCGCATTGAATTTTTGAGAACTACATGTGACAGCATTTTCGGCATTCTCGAACGTCATGCACTTTCTGTCAAAATTCTTGAACATCATCAAAATTCTGTAAAATATAACGTTTGCAACGAACATATTGTACTCATTATAAATTTTTGATGCAACCGAATGTAAAGATAATTTTGGTGGTCGAAATATACAAGACCTGGCAAATATGTTGGTATAGTGGGAGTGATTATAAACGGTAAGAGAATGAAGAGAGCCAAACTTTTCTCATCATTTTCCGTCAATTTAGTGCTCTTTTTTACGTGGCTTATATAAGTTATTTCTTAGGTGCTTTAAAATACATCAGTCGAAAATATACTGAATTCTTCTTCTTGTTGAGAGAAGTTTTGAAATCAAGTCCTCTGGTGCAACACACTTTGAAGTAAAACTTAAAATGAATTCAACTCTCTTTGATCTACACTGGTAGCCAACCAAATGTCCACCATAAGTACATATTATGCCTAATTATCGCCATATAATCATTTTTATAAATCTGAAGGTGCTAGTTTGTATTGTACATGATCAAAGTCAAGGTTTGAAAAATGACATCCGGAGTTGCATTTTGGTCCATTTTATGAAGAACATGCCACATGTACATGTATACTACTATGGACACATTTGTACCTGTATGTATTACAGAGTATTTTCATTAAATTCATAAGTTTCTAAGCATTAATGCCATATGAGACTATTTAAATACTGATAGAATTCCAAGAGGAAGCAAACAAGCACTCAAATGCAAGGAAAAACTTGAAACATTTGAAGACGGTCGGACAGAAAGAAGATGGAAATCGGTATTACATAGGCTCGCATTTGCTTCGCACTAGCCGAAAAAGACGATCAAAGATAATAATGACATTAAAGTGATAGAGTCAATGGCATACAAGCACACCTAGGGCAGCTGCCAAACAACTCACACTCACCAACATCTACATTGAGAAGACAATAAGAAGCAGTCATATTTTTACAGCTGGGAGGAAAATGCCAGAGAGGAAATTTCTGAGTAAAACCCACGGAATCGGGTTGCGACTGAAAAACCCAATCCACATCTGGACTGACTATATGAATCAAACTTGGGCCAAGGAGGTAAAAGGCGAGGAAAGAACTACCAGTACTTCACCAACCCAACTCCGCCATACATTTAAATGTATGTATTTCCTACTCTGTCATGATCCAGCAAACTATGAATATCTTAAAGAGTATTGCTGATGTCCAGGCCTGGTGGCCAGTCGTAGGCCAGGAAACATACATGTACAACAATGCAACTTGATTATCATTTTCTTGTTATGAGGCATCATTTCCCAGAACCAAATTCTCAGACTTAGGGTTGTTTGTTTATCACAGCACTAATTTTACCTGTGTGCACCACATCAACCAGACCAGGATTATTGTCCACATGACCAATAATAAGTAGGCTGGTGTCTGTTGCATCAGCACGAACATCCTGTACACTCTTCTCAAAAAGAGTCTCATCGATAATTCTGGCCTCAGTGCTCATCTTTTCAAATCTGAAACAGATGTAAAATAGAAAATAACCATGTTTTTGTTAGCAGTCCTCATGCCATACAAAATAAAGTTAATTTAGTGTTAGTGTCAAGTGACTTTGCCACTGTTAGGGACAGACAGACATTAGAACTTCAAACATACGCTACAAAATCAGTCCAACTTGGAATTTCACAGGTTTTTTTTACATTCATACATTATCCAAATGAAATAGATCATCCATGGATGAAAATCCCATTGTTAAAAAAGACACAGTTTGGAAACAGGGTTTCTAGTTCTCAAAGCTGATTTCACGGTGTTGCTAAACAACGGAAGCAGCTGATGCACAGCGTTAGCACAGAACAAAAAAAATAGGTTATCAAAAAAGGGGGGGAGGGAAATTGGCACCGTTTTGACTTGAAATTTGACTATTTGAATATTGAATCGCTTAAAATGAGTCACTAGTTTGTCACCGGCCAATTCAACATTTACATATACAGGTGTCTGCAAGTTTACACGTAGGTCTCACACTTCGTGAGTACGAGACTTATATAAACAGCTCCCAGCTAGCTGGAGTGACATGTGCTTGCAGGCCACCTAAGGTACACATATGTATACTGATTTGGGATCATAAGTGTTGAAAACCAACTGGTATGTACAGTAAGTTGTCATTTTTTGCTCGGAAATGCTGTTACACGTAGGTCAACTATAATGTGTTTTCTTCAAAATGAACTGAGGCAAACATGACGTACAGGTTACAACAGGAGTCATTTTGCGCCAAATAACTGAATACCTCCCCGGTCCAGGTGGATTGGAGGAGCTGCACAATGCTACAGAGGAATGAAAAGTGCATCCAGCCTAGACTACATGTACATTGTATCTCCCATGTAACCTGGCTCGGATTTGCCTGAGAAAATTCCTGAAATTACCTTGATGGTAGGAAAACAACAGTTGACACACAAAATATGAGCCATTAGACACTTATTGGATTAATTATGGTCTCAAATTTGCACTTTCGACAGACATGAACAACCTGTAAATCCTAGTAACCCAAAAATTACTGGGAAATGCACTAATTTTGAATAGATTTGTGTGGTGAAAGACAATATTTACATTAAAAGTATAACAAAATTGAAAAACATGTCCCACAAATGCAAGTCCTGAAGTTGACATTCGTGAACATCATTCGGTTCTGTCAATGATATCAACTGTAAAAAACACCCAGTAGGCTAAATCAAAAAGTAATGCACAAAAGGACCCCAAACCACCATCATCCTTTTACAACTTCAACAATCACACTTTTTTTCACAACTTGCTGCCTGGCAGCCCAGTTTCGGGCATGTTATCTTTATATGCGCAGGCGGGGTATCTGAAATCAGACAAAAGAAACTGGGCCCTGTAACAAAAGACCATACTCGTAACAAAAGCCCAGGATGCTGGGAATTAAATGTACCAACATTTTTCAACTATAAATAATGGAGATAATCCAGCCTTGTTTTGAAACAGTATACCACACGGTGGCATTCACTGCGAATCCGTCTGCAGATTACAACTGGGGACAAAAGCGTTCCATTGCTGCAGTGATGAGCCACACACTACTGCTGCATGCTAATATGGCCCCTGTTGAAAAGAGGTCAGCAGCACACTCTGCCAGCTTGGGAACAAAAGCAAATTATGTAACACTGCACAATCTGGGCTCTTTTTACAAGGCAGCAAGCCTAGATGAAATACTCCGGCGTCAACAGATGTTGTTTGTCAGATTAGAGTAGCCATCAGACAATCCTATGTGTGGGTGTAAGTGTCCAGTAAAAGAAGATATGAAGTTTTAAGGAATTTTGAAAATTGAAATAAAGAAATATCCAGGCTCAGCAGAATCAACATTTATATATGCCCCCAGCACGAAGTGGTCAAGTATGTTTCAGTAAACCCTGCTCTAAAATACTGATAATGACAACTTCAGGATGTCCTTCAATATTTAACAGTGACATTGCAGAAATGTTTTGCTGCCTTGTGGGCTGTTTGACCTTTGACAATAGCCAGGAAAATGCGCCCTCTTTTTCATTCGATATTTGTGAGCCCCTCCATGGAAGTGTAACAATTTGGGATTTTTATCTTCGTACTGAAAACTAAAATTACATGTGTAAACAAATGAGGTACAAGACATAAAGTAAGATTTGTGATGAAAATCAAATGCCCTTAGATCTATGTAATTCTGAGCAGGGATCTAAAAAACTAACAGCAAAATGAACAATGCACGATGAATTTTTTAGCCCTAATGTTACTTGCAACAACATATTTGGTACTTACAACCTACATTATGCATTTTATGTCAAAATTCTCAAATGTCATCGAAATTCTGTCAAATATGACATTCACAATGAATATGTTGTACTCACTATATATTTTTGATGAAAGCAAACTTAAATATAATTTTCAGTGTCAGAAAGGATGAGTCATGACAAATATGCTGGTACGGTGGGAGTGAAAGAGAAAGAAAAGGGCCAAATATTTTTACCCAATTTGCATCAAATTTTGTACTGATTTTTTCACAGCTCATTTTTATTTAAAGGTCTTTCTGAGGGGCTTGTCTGTTAAAAAATATACACAATTTTCTTTTTTGTTGAGAGAAGTTTTGGCATCAGGTTATCTGGTACAAACACTTCGACTTAAAACTTCAAATGAGTTCAACTCTATTTGATTTGCATTGTATCTAGGTTAAGTTAGTCGGTGTTCCCCCCCTTTAGAGTTTCACAGCCCTATGCCCAATCTTTTGGGAACCTGGCATGTACAGAAATATCCTCATCAACAGTGCATCTTTGAAGTTTACATTTGGCAAGGGTTTCGTTTTGTGGTTATTTATATTGGGTACATGTACTGGTAGTTTATGCCCTCATAAGTGTCAGCCTATCCATGCAAGCATTGAGCATGCATACAAGTACATCTAAGTGCATGTTAACAGCACCCCCCCTCAAAAGGACTTCTTGACAATGGTATGTCGACTTTTTAACACGAAATTGATAAAGAAATGGTCCTAAGAAATAATCAGTGAAAATACTCCTTTGTGGAAGGGTCTTCACAAAAAAAAACAATTCCAAGGGGGTAGATTCCAACCCCTTTCTTTTTAAGCAGAAGTGTGTGTTTGTGGCCTCGCCACACGGTATGTGTGTGATGCATCTTGTGCAGGAGTGAAGTTGTAGTTAGCATTGCACACCCTGTTTTCTGTCTTCTGCTGCAGTTGATGGCTAGCCCCATTTTGGGGAGAAAAGGGAGCCTAGTGCATAAGTCTCCCGTGCCAGTACATAGCCTCTCCACCATCAGGATCCCTACAGCCTCCTCGTAGCAGCGCAAGGTAACTGGGCATCCTGCCACCCCAGGCTGAACTGCAGGGGATCTCAGAGCTGCGATGATCCCCATAGGTATAATATGCGTACACGTCACACCAACCACTGCCCCTGATATGGGTAAAATGTCACTGAGACATTTTTTTCTATTTTAACCATCTGCTGCCTTGTAGGTCGTGTCCTGTCAGACAAACGCTACGAAGAGGACACTCCAAATTCAAACCATGAATTGTCTCTCATGCATCAGGTGAGCCCAAGTAGATCTGGATCTCGGCAGGGATTTGAAGCTAGTGTCATGAAATATTCAAACCCTGCTGGCGCACAGCCCTTGTTGCTGCAGAACTGGCATGCTACAGTGTCGACATCGCTACTTAGAGCAACACCCGTCTTCACAGCAAGGGTTCTTTGGTAGAGCCGACATTTGGATACACTTTCTTCTGGAAGGGCTACCCAGATGGGGGACCTACACAGCATGATTTTGGCTCATCATGTGCTCAGCACGTTAAAGGTGTGCCTGAGACTTCCATTGGTGTTTCACCGTACGGCCACTTGCTATTTAAGGCTGAGTCACTCACAATATTAAGTGCCAATGCCCCGACGCCAGTTTCTGAGGAAGCTGTGAAGGAGTTTTACAAGCAACTGGGTAAGTAGCTTTGATGCATCACAGTGGAAAACAAAGTTGTCCTCCTTGGTGACTTTAATGCTCAAGTTGGCTGTGACTAACCTGTGTGGGAAGGTGTCCTTGGTGCACATGGAGTGGGAACTCTCAACTGTAACGGCCTGCGCCTACCGTCTCTCTGTTCAGAACACAGTCTAAACATAAACTTCAAACAATCAAATAAGCACAAGATGACTTGGATGCACCCTCGCTCATGCCACTGGCATTTCATTGACAACGTGATCGTCTGCCAACGTGACCATCCCCAGCTTAAGCCAAAAACAAAAAGTCTCCGGTTTCTTGGTCACTGCACGGGTCAAAGTAGCCCTGCATCAGCAAAATAAAGAAGTTTTTTTCACATAGAACAATTTCCAAAAGCCGCCAAACTTACTTGATCAGCAGGAGTTCTGCTACTGCGTAATTTCAATGTGTTTTTGATGGGTGGGGTTGAGTAATACATATGGTGAAGGAATCCCGTATGCCTCCATATATTTCAGTAGGGCACTCTTATCGGATGACATCCTTTATGTATCTTTACACGAAGGCCGTGTCTGAATCAGTTGGCTGCGGCTTGATATAACACATCATTCTATGGGAACTGGCCATGGATGCTGCCAAATACTCGGTGTAATTTCCAGCCATAGCAAATATTGATTCGGACCTGCGCCTATGTCTGTGAACCAAACAAAGGAAGTTTTCCATCGTGGTTGCGCTATTGTTTTTCAACAAGCTCAATACTGCCCAGAATAGAAGCCTCTTGTTTGAGCGAGATGAAACCATTGCCTCTTGTCATATTATATGGTCTTTTTATTAATTCAAAGTTGTTAATTCACACTTGTCATAGTAACAAGGCAATGTGCTCAATTATATGTGCATGTACATCACTTTTGGACCAAGCCCATGAGCAGAAACTGGAGTCTTTTTTGGGCCTTAGGATTCACATTCTGATATGTGTAGCCAAAGGATAGGTTGCATCTTGAAGATGCAACCTATCCTTCGGCCTCTTCAGCAAAAGGTGGAAAGGCTT